GCCATCCCCACCACCATGCCTCCGGCAAAACCCCTATTCCACCGACACATCCTCACACGTTTCCTTGCCAGATAGCTGAGTTCTTTCTCCAGCTGGTGACACTTCTTATCCCCACGGATCCCCCTTCACACCAGCGTCTCTCGCTTCTGTCACACCCTTTCATCAGGCCCCTGTGAAATCTCTCTGGCTCTGCAAGTCTTAGGTGCAACCGAGGCCACACTGGGGGCCACTGTGTCTGAGCCAAGGACAGGAGTCAGTGCCAGCTAACCGTCACTGTGGCTTTGACACCCCAGTGCCAGGCTGACAGGCGAGCTAAGGCCAAACTTCCCAAGAGCTGCTAATCCCGCCCCTCCGTGCTTTATGAACATAAACTGAGACAGGATCACTCCTGGCAGCCATTCCTACCAACTTGTGCTTTCAGTCAAACTCTCAGCTCATTAAAAAAGATTTTTAAAAATTTTTAAAAGACCAAAAAAATAAAAAATAAATAAACCAACCCAAAAAAACCCCTTGTAGCACATGTGGGGGCTTCTTTCTCTGCCTTCCAGATGTGAGCCTCCCCTCGAGTGGGAGTGGTCAAGTGGTCGCTGAACCACTGCCCTCATTTACATTCTTTGATTTCCTCACGCAGGGCTGGGAGGAGAAAGGTGGGTGTCGGTGACTGGTTTCACCGGTGTGGGCAGAAGGAAGCCTCTTGTCCCAGTGGGACTGGGGAGGAAGGAAAATGTGTGGGGACTGATGGTTTGGTCTTAGTGTGTAGGAAACATCAGAAGCCCCGTGTGTGGGTCACTGGTGAGTTTTACAGCAGGTCTCAACCAGAGCAGACTGTTCCTTGTGTAGGAAAAAAGATCTAGTAATTATCCAAAGGCAGGGCNCGAGAGTAGGACACATCAGAAGCCCCGTGTGTGGGTCACTGGTGAGTTTTACAGCAGGTCTCAACCAGAGCAGACTGTTCCTTGTGTAGGAAAAAAGATCTAGTAATTATCCAAAGGCAGGGCGAATTCTTTTTGCTGCCTTTGTGATAACTAGAGATTTCCCCCAAAACTAAATAGCTCCCCCTTCCTATGACAGGTGTCATTTCAGACAAACCAAACATAGCTAAGTATGAGAAAATCCAGGGTCTCTCTTCTTTGGTAGTAACGGGGAGGTTGCAGGGAGGGGGAGATGAGACATTCTCCAGCAGGACCCTCCAGAGGGCCCGCAGGGCTGGCCAGGCACATCTGCTCTGCTTCTTCCTTTAGACATTCATTCGTTCAATACATTCATTAATCCAAATGCATGAGGGGTCTCCCACGTCCCAGTTACTGCTCTAAGTGCCAGAGATACAGCAGTGAACAAATAAATATATTGACCCTTGACAAGACAGGGCATAGGTGCGACGACTCCCCCAGTCCAAAATCTGCATATAACTTTTGACTCCCCCAAAAGTTAACTACTAATAGCCTGCTGTTAACCGGAAGCCTTACCAAGAACATAGTCGATTAACACATACTTTGTATGTTACATGTATTATATACTGTATTCTTACATTAAAATGAGCTAGAGAAAAGAAAATGTTATTAAAATCATAAGGAAAATACATTTACAGTATTTATTGAAAAAATCTGTGGATAAGTGGACCTGTTCAGTTCAAACGCATATTTTTCTGGAGTCAACCATACATAATATGTTGGGTCCAGTGAATATTACAAGAAAAAATCAAGCAGGGACTAGAATCAAGAATAAGGGGTGATAAGTCAATCAGAGAAAGACAAATACCATATGATTTCACTTATATGTGGAATCAAGTGAACAAAATAAACAAACAAACAAAATAGAAACAGACTCATAGATACAGAAAGCAAACTGACAGTTGTCAGAGGGGAGGGGAGTTGTGGGGCTGGGTGGAAAAGGTGAAGGGATTAAAAAACAAACAAAAAAACACAAAAACTCATAGACACACACAACAGTATGGTGATTACCAGAGGAAAAGGGGGTCGGGGGAGGCAGAAGAGGGTAAAAGGGGATAAATGGGATGGAAGGACACTTGACTTTGGGTAGTGAACCCATAATACATTATACAGATGATGTGTTGTAAAACTGTGCTCCTGAAACCTATATAATTTTATTAACCAATGTCATCCCAATAAATTCAATAATTTTTTTTAAAAAAGAATAAGGGGTGAAAGCTTACATTACTTAGGGTCCTTGGGAAAAGCCACATTTGGAAATATCTGCCCATCCCACCTCTCCCCAAACCACTATGTAGATGGAAGATAGCAAGGTGCAGCCCTGCTGCACATGCCGACCCCCGTGGCATGCCCAAGGCCCTTACCGCGACTGCACCACCCTGCTTCACCAGCACAGCCAAAGGGCTGCATATTTGAAAGTAGGAACTCCGGGTTGTCTTCCTTTTTCTGGTTAGACTCAGTTACCAATTTTCATTTCCTTAGGGGGCTGTGGCCATCCAGCCCAGAGATAAGAGACCAAGGAGAGAGACTTAGACAAGTGGAGCTGAGACGGAGCAAATCTGTCCTTAAAGAGGTATCTCTTCGCTTTCCACACACACTTCAGACCGTGCCTGTAATGAAAACCTCAACCTACAGGACAAGGGCTTGAAAAGGTAATTAGCTGCTCTGCTCACAAAACCCACCACTGGGTGTTCAGAACTTAAGCAGCTTAGGAGTCACACAGGAAATGGTGTCCCATCCCACACCTGTCCCCCTGCCCCAGACAGGCACCCGCACACCCAGAAACCTACCAAGAAATAATCAAGATCCTTGATGGGAGCCTTTTCACGGTCACCACTGGCTAATTCTTACTGGGTGACCCAGCGAAGAGCTACTGAATGTGTAATTTAAAAATGCATTTGCAGAGGGAAAGGTGGGGGAGTGGGTGGGGAGCGATCCATCAAAGAACTTATATGCATATATGCATAACCCATGGACACAGGCAATAGTGTGAAGGCCTGGCAGGGGGTGGGGGTGGAGTGGAAGAGATCAATGGGGGAAAGAGGGGGACATCTGTAATACTTAGAACAATACAGATAAATTTTTTTAAAAAACGCGTTTGCTATTTTGTTAACCTCTCTGGCATAGCCAGGCAGACAATCCTAGCAGTCTTTGGAAAGGGAATGCTTCCCTTTGTGAACTCCTG